TAATAAATTCTTGAGTACCCGACATGCTTGTTGGTACTATAATGGAGTCCAGAGATGCTACATTTTTTGAAAGTGAATTTCCTATGAACATGCATCTAGCACATCTAGTCATGAAACTATAATACCCCATGAGCAATTCATTTCGATAGAACATTTTGAGGAACCTTGTGTGCAAAATCCTGAGGAGGATGATATTGTAGTCACTTGAAAGAGTAAGAGAAAAGGACTACAAAGTCTTTTGGTGATGACTATATTGTGTACCTTATGGATGACACACCAAGAATCATTGAAGATGCATATTCCTCTCTTGATGCTGACCTTTAGAAGGAAGCAGCAGAGTGAGACAGAGTGAGATTGATTCAATTATATCTAATGAAGCTTGGGAAGTTGTTGAACGTCCTTATGGGTGTAAACCTATAGGATGCAAATGGGTGTTCCAAAAAAGCTTAGGCCTGATGGTACTATTGAGAGGTACAAGGCAAGGCTTGTGGCCAAGGGTTATATCTAGAAAGAAGGTGAAGATTTTTTTGATACTTATTCACATGTTGCTCGATTGACCACAATTCGAGTGTTACTTTTCCTAGCAGCCTCACATGGTCTTCTCGTTCATCAGATGGATGTTAAGACAGCTTTCCTTAACAGAGAGTTAGAGGAGGAGATCTATATGGATCGGCCAGATGGAATTTGTAGCAAATGATCAAGAAGGCATGTTGTGTAAATTATTGAAGTCCTTATATGGACTTAAACAAGCCCCTAAGCAATGGCATGAGAAGTTCGACGGAACTTTAACATCTGTCAGCTTTGTTGTGAATGAAGCTGACAAATGTGTGTATTATCGGTATGGTGGGGGCGAAGGTGTGATCTTGTGTTTATATGTTGATGACATACTAATCTTTGGAACCAGCCTTGATGTGATCAAGGGGTTAAAGAATTTTTGTCTAATAATTTTGAGTTGAAAGATTTGGGAGAGGCTGATGTTATTCTTAATATCAAGTTGTTAAGAGAAGGCAATGGTGGAGTTACACTTCTACAATCCCACTATATGGAAAAGGTTTTAAGTCACTTTAGGTTTAGTGACTGTTAGCCTGCTCCTACGCCTTATAACCCTAGTGTGCTATTGAGGAAAAATCGGAGAATAGCAAGGAATCAATTGAGATAATCTCAAATTATTGGTTCACTTATGTATCTGGCTAGCGCTACAAGGCCTAATATCTCGTTTGCTATGAGTAAACTAAGCCGGTTTGTGTCTAATCCGGGAGATAATTATTGGCGTGCACTTGAGAGAGTAATGCGTTACCTAAAAGGTACTGTGAGCTATGACATTCACTATACCAGGTATCCAAAGGTACTAGAGGGTTATTGTAATGTGAACTGGATATCTGATGATGATGAGGTTCACGCCACGAGTGGATATGTGTTTCTGCTTGGAGGTGGCGCTGTTTTATGGAAGTCTTGCAAGCAGACCATCTTAACGAGGTCAACCATGGAAACAGAACTCATAGCATTAGACACCGTCGGCGTTGAGGCCGAGTGGCTTCGTGAACTCTTTATGGATTTACCGGTAGTAGAAAACCCTATATCGACTATTTTTATGAACTATGATAACCAGACTGTGATAATCAAGGTAAACAGTTCTAAGGATAACATGAAGCCCACAAGGCATGTTAAGATGTGACTAAAATCCATTAGAAATTTGAGAAACTACGGAGTGATAGCGTTGGACTATGTTCATGTCTAAAAATCTGGCAGATCAATTCATTAAGGGACTATCACGTAATGTGATAGATAGTGCATTTAGTGAGATGGGCCTGAGACCCACATGAAGTCTACCATGGTGGTAACCTGTTCTATGTGATCGGAGATCCCGTGAAGTAGGATGGTGAAACAAGCCGAGGATAGGCTGTGAGTAAAGATCCTTAACTTGGCCCATGTTAGATGCACATCTTTCCTTTACTGTAAGGCAGGTTGGTTTTTACCTTAATGTGTTCCAAGTGGCTTGCTTAAGTAAAGATGTTGTCCTACAGAGCATTTTTTGAGGAATACACCTATATGAGTTCGACTGCTAGTCACAGTCTATGAGATTTAGGTGATCTCTAGATACTCATGAAAGGCCCATGAGTTTGACTTATATGCTCCAACCAAAGGGGATGCTTTAGACATCCTTGTATCAGTAAAGAACTTAGGTGAAACTTATTTTGCACAAAACTGTTAATTCAAGGTATAGTCCATTGTTCAGTTGTGAAGAAGCGTAACCTCTGTTCTAGGTGGATGTTCAACTTAATAGTCTCCACTGAAACACTAATATATTAAACAACAGTGGAGTTGAGGGCATTTCTTTTATGCTTTGAAATTTGGTGGGGATTGTTGGATTTAATTGAAATTAATCAGTTATATTTAACAATTAAATCAAAAGAAATTTCAAGTCTAAGATTAATGCTAGGTGAAACTCGTGACGTGTTAATAGCCATTAGTGGATGTTTGAAGGAGAGTTAGTGGTTGATTAGTGAGTTACTAGTAATGGATAATTGATTTGTCTGTTACTAGTAACTAATAAATATGGTTGTCATGCCATTATCAACTAGGTTGATTAGTGGGTTACTAGTAACGGACAATTTATTTGTCGGTTACAAGTAACTTACATGGTGTTTATGACCATTTATTAATCACTACACCGGTCTCTTCCTATTCCCGTAAGGCTACATAAGGCGGTGCTCTCCTCTTGTTTACAAACACATGACACACAACCACGTCTTATCAATTCGTTGTTGAGTTGCTCCCGAGTTTCCCATCCCAATCCTCCACGTGCACGGAGTGTTGGGAGAGCAGGCCTTTAGAACTGCCGTCCGCATAGCGACACCTGCTCGGGTGTGCGGGTGATCAAGTTTTTGGGAGCGTCTCCACGACTGCTCGCTTCTTCCTAGTGACTGCCGACATCTTCTTTTCTTCCTCGGATCGTCTACTTCACGGTGGACGTTCGAGGGACTGTACCGCTGCGAACATCGTCCTATAACGACTGTGGTCCACTACTTCGAGCAACATACGATGTCGACTCGTATAAATTGAGCCACCGATGTCTTGAGCATGAGTCCTCCGCTGGGTATACATCTAATCTTACTGTTTTTAAATTTAGTAAGGTTTTTGTTCTCTTAAATATGATCATTATATTCATCATAGTTGCCACCAGTAGTCCACACGTGCACATATTTATTGTCATAAATTTATTGCTATTTTTTGGATTAAATTAAATATGAAAATGTCTAAATTTCTAATAGCTTATTTAACATGAAATTGGCGGAGATGAATAAGCTATTCGACTGATAGTCTCCCGCTGATAAGCCTGGCGACCGTCGTACTCGTACCCTTCTCAAAATCTCACCTCGTGCATTTTGGCCATCCGTTCTCAAAGAAGACTTTTTAAACACCAAAAAGAGTAGCTTTATCATGGGGTAACTTGTACTGGTACTACCTCACTAGTCACCAGCGCTGTTCAACTGCAAACCATATCGTATATGCCCTTGTTTAGATTATAAGTTTTTTTATTTTCTTTATCACATCAAATTTTTACATACATGCATAAAGTATTAAATATAGATAAAAAAATAACTAATTACACAATTTGATTTAAACCAAATGTATAATTAATTTTTTTTATCTACATTTAATGCTCCATACATACATCCAAAAATTAATGTAATAAAAAGAGAATAAAAAAACTTGAAATTTTGAGACAATCTAAACAAGACCTAGAATTCTTAATGGACAGTTGTGGAGTTTTGGGAGTTGATGAGTTGCAAGTAACGCCTTGAAAAGTGAAAGCTCAGGGAAAGAAAACAAAAGCTGCCCCACCGTGCTTAAAAAAATCGCCCAAACTTTTCCGGGTCCCTTTTATCCTTCGCCGGCTGTCTCCAACTGTAGACCGATCAGGAGATCAAACCCAACGTAATATTTATAGTCTCCGACATATTACTTATACAAAATTATAAGAAAGATCTATTTTAAATATTAGAAGATATATAACTCAAATATAAGCATCATCTTTTATTGAAACTCATATGTAGAAAGATTTTTTTTATTTTATTGTTAGAGAAGATAAAAAATAAGTATTGAATGTTTGCCCAACCATCGGCCTATTCGACAGACCATAAACAATTATAAATTATTTACTACTAACTAATTTGATGTGAGAAAAAAATAGCATTGTAGTCTATAATCCACGATCGATCGTATACTTGCAACCGAACGGGTCTATATATTTTGGGTGCGTTCCGCTGGTCTGAAATTTCAGACCAGCCGGCTGCTCCGAACTGGGTCTATATTTTGAGTAACGGTTACCGGAGACCGTATAAACACAAACCCAGAATTCACAAGAGTTTTGCAGTACTGGAGAGAGAGAGAGAGTAACGGCGGCGGAGACCGGCACAAACCCAGAAGAGAGAGCTGCAGTGAGGAGAGAGAGAGTGGAGAGCGATAGAGCTGGAGAGTGGAGAGCGATAGAGCTGGATGGTGGAAGCAGAAATCCACAGCGTATAGAGGGAGGAGGGAGATCTGGAGCTCCTGGGGAGAGGGAGAAGGAGCTGGAATGGTAACGGTTGGCAGAGGGGGATCCTTGATCTGTTTTTGAGCTGGAAGATTTCTTCTTTTGAGCCGGAGAAACTTGGATCTCGAGGCCATCCAAGAAAAAGTTTTCCCCTTCCTTGCTGCTAGCCTACTGCATTGCTGCCTCCCCCAGATCCGAGCTGCCACAAGGAGAAAGGTGGAATCTCTCGCCTTCTCCACAAATCCGCCCAAATTTTGGGTTTCTTGAGCTGTTCTTGGGAGCGCTTGGGGAAAAAGGTCGATTTTTTTTTTGGTTGGGGTAGATGCGGGAGTGATGTCGACTACTTTATGAGCTGCCCCCTGCTACTTTGGGGTCTAGATTCGCTATAGTTATGGCGGATCTTGCCATGGAGCATTAGGAGTTTCTTTCGTCGAAGGCGAAAGGAACTTGCCCGTAAGCTGCAATGTCTCTCAAGAACATTGTGCGGGAGCTGAAGGAGATGAGGGACGGTATCGGGAGCATGTCGAGACGAGGCGGCAGCGGCTCCGACGGCCGCGCCGGCCACGGCCGCTCGGGGTCGCGGCATTCTTGGCCTAGCCTGTGGGCGGAGCAGCAGCAGCCGCAGCGGCAGGGCCAGGGCCTGGGCCAGGAGGGGCCCCAGCATCAGCATCAGCATCAGGGGCGGTGGGCGAACCTGCCTCCGGAACTGCTGCTGGATGTGATACAAAGGGTGGAATCCAGCGAGGCGACGTGGCCGGCGCGGCGCCAGGTCGTGGCGTGTGCGGCCGTTTGCCGGTCGTGGCGTGAGGTCACCAAGGAGGTGGTGAAGACGCTCGAGGAGTGCGGCAGGATCACCTTCCCCATATCCCTTAAGCAGGTATCTGCCTTGTTCTCTGATATCATGATTCATGTGAAGTTTGCTGGTTAAGGTGTAGTGAGAATCTGGAGGTCTTGATGCTAACTTCATTTTGCGCAGCCGGGGCCTCGTGAACTGCCGGTCCAGTGTTTTGTGAGGAGGGAGAGGGCGACATCCACATATCTACTCTATCTAGGGCTCAGCCCATGTAAGTTATCATGTTCGGCTGTCGAAAGATAGCGTTCTTGTTCAGTAGTTCTTATCTCTTTTGTAGTCATTTGTCTGCGTCAAGATGAACTGTTCTAGTTATGGCTACATTGCTCAACTGTCAATTTGCAAGAACAAAATCCTGAATAAGCATGTCCTTGCAATGATCATATAATATGGTAAGTTCATTTAGTTGATTACATATCATAGGATTTGTATAAAAAAAATGTTGGGTTCAAGTCTGCCAAACAACAAAATGGTTCTGTTTTTCCTACTTCATGGAAGAGAAAATGCTAGGTTCAAGTCAGGTGAACAACAAAATGGTTCCATTCTTTGATATGTATCAAAATATTTTCTACTTCATGCAAGAGCATTGGTCTCACAGCTATTTCCATGCCTGAATGTTTTTATTTTACCTTGTCTGTTAGAGCATACTATACAAAAAATTCACCTTAGAAGTTTACAATCCAAAACAATCAAATAAATATCTCTTTTCTGTGCAAGAGATGTGATGGCTGCTAGTCTGGTTTGAGAAATAAGCCCAACTGTAACTAGTGAACTGTGTGAGCATCTGGTACAGACTGAACATACCTTTCTGACCACATTGAAGTTACTTTCCTTGCATCCATAGCAAACATAGCAGGACACAAAGATGAGCTCAACTGCTGGAAGAACGGTGCATTATGTTTTACTAGAATAGGCAACTAGTCATTATTGTGGACTATCCATGGTATGCATACTTCTCTGCACATTCCTATTTGTGCTAGATGTGCATAGATATCTACTCCCTTGGCCCCCTATTAATGTGGATGTGGTCCTGTCAACTAAAAACTCCGGCGTCACATTGAGTAGGAGGATGCATTCAGGATTGTTTAACACCCCCACAACACCCCCACGTCCTGCTTAGGATATAAGTCTTGATCATAGTACTTTTACAATAATTTAGACAGAACACTTATACTGAAGCTTATATGCGCTCACTCAATATGATCACACATCATTTACTGATAACTTTGTATATTATGCAGCTATGAATGTGGAAAACGACAAGCTATTGCTTGCAGCTCGTAAGGTCAGGCGTGCCACGAGGACTTCTTTTGTGATCTCACTGGTCTCTGATGATTTCTCTCACTCTAGTAGCACCTACGTTGGCAAACTGAAGTAAGCTTCTTACTATGTTGACGTATGTGGCATGATTGTTCTTCTTTGTCCTAGTTACCTTCTAACCTCGCCATTGTTTCTCACAAATCAGGCCAAACTTCCTCGGCACAAAGTTCACTATCTTTGACAGCCAGCCTCCTCCTGATGCTGTAGTTCTACCAAACAATAAACCAAGCAAAAGGCAGTCCAAACAAGTATCACCGAGACTGCCATTAGGCAATTACAATGTTGCTACAGTCACGTATGAGCTCACCGTCCTACGCAACAGGGGACCAAGGAGAATGCAATGCACCATGCACTCGATACCAGCTGAGTGTATTCAGGAGGGTGGGAAGGCCCCTACACCAACCGGCACCATCCAGTCGCTTGATGAGTTGGTGTCCACTTCACCTAGTACCAAAGGGAAGGAAGTGGCTGTAGAATTTTCTTCGACGAGCCTCAGTGCTGATCTGTCTGGACCGGCCTGCGCAAATGAAACACCTCTAGTGCTGAAGAACAAAGCCCCGCGTTGGCATGAGCAGCTGCAGTGTTGGTGCCTCAACTTCCGGGGGCGCGTCACCGTCGCATCAGTGAAGAACTTCCAGCTCGTCGCCTCCATTGATCCTTCCCTAAACATCCCTGCAGCGGAGCAGGAGAAGGTGATCCTCCAGTTCGGGAAGATAGGGAAGGATATATTCACCATGGACTACCGGTACCCACTCTCGGCGTTCCAGGCCTTCGCAATCTGCCTGACCAGCTTCGACACCAAACCAGCCTGTGAATAACTGACGATAGTTTAAAATCCGGGTGGTGGAGTCTGTATGTCTATGTTCGTCCTGGGCGATGTAAATTCTTGATCTTGCCATGCTGGGCCTCTGCCCAGACGAAATGGTAGCTTGTTATGAGGTGAAGATGAGCAATGGCATCTGTACCATTGGAAGAGATTTGGGCGACCTGGTTTATCCAACTGTTATATGTATTATTGTTGGGATGTTTTGGCTGTGAAATATCACTGCCGTATCGATAATGGACGTTGTGACCATCTTGCTCGCTCGCTCTGCTCTCATTTTGAACCGTTTTGCTTCAGGGTTGGCACGATGGCACTTGGTTGGCGGGGATCATGCCGCTGTCTGTTCCTCTGGCACCCTACTCATGTTGTTGTGATTGTGACGTGAAATGGCAAATGGGAGCATTTTACGGGGGCCGTGCTGGATGCTGCATCTGGTGCGTAAAGAAGTTGCATACGGAGTTACAGAACTGCCATCCCGGCCCCCAATCATGAGGAGACCACCACCACCCCGATAGCAGCGGGGTTCTATTATTTGCTGCCACACACAAAAACAAAAAGAGTGCATGAATGAAGCAGTTGCTTGCGGATATTCAGCGATTTGGTGCCCGCGTATCCGTATCTGGAAAGCAGATACGGATCCTAGTATGCAAATCTCTCTCTGCTTTCATGTCCTCTGTATCCTGGCGATGTCATGAACCCTTCCTTGTCCGCTCGATGCTGTCCGTATCCGACTGAGAGGAACAGACGCTGCTCGGCGCATTTCGCAACGTCACGACGGACATGTGCCGCTCCATGGACCATGGATGTTAGCGACCCGTCTGGGCGGACTGAGCTTGTGACAGTGGCCTGACTGCAGCGCATGCGCGACCTCCCTCGGTTTCATCGAGAAGGCCTTTTTATGGCTGTCCTCTTCCTCGGCGAGATGGTGTCATACGGGAAGCCACTCCATTGATATTCTCAGCGAGCCGTCGTCGCGTGGCAGGAGATCTTGGACGTGTATACTCAGCCCAACCTTCTGGAAGGACGACGTACCCCGTGCGCGTAGCTGCTGACGCGATGAGGCCGCTATCGCTGGTGGCCTGGTGCCTTGCTGACACCGGACCCAAGTAGGCTTGTAGCAGAAGCATAATCTTCCGATGCTGATTTCTTTTTGACTGACGAGTCACATCTTCTTCTAATTCTATAGACTGATCTTAGGCCTCGTTTAGTCCCGCCGAATTGGCGCCGGTAAAAACACTGTAGCTACAGTGTCGTTTTGTTTTTATTTGTTAATAATTGTTCAATTGTTTTTTTAATTGAGAGCTTAAAACGCTCGTCTCATAATTTTGATGCGATTAGTTTTGATTTTGTCAACAGTCATACACGTATCGCGAATTTGATGATTATATAGTGTCGAATTCTGGAATTTAGAGGGAACTAAACGCGGCCTTATTTCTGCGATCAGTCCGTGATACGAGAATGCCTTGATCTCCGCAGCACCGTAGGAAAACCCGTAGAAATCCGCGGCACACGAGAGGAAATTTGATCCGCCTTCCTACGTTGGTCGGGCGCAAATTCAGAGGATTTTTCAACGAGGAACGAGTCCACAAGTCACGCCTATACGGAACTGCCCTGCCGGGAATTAATGCGGCCGTCCCCGCCACAACTGCCGCAATCCATCCCCCGCGCTGCCGTATTCGTAATCCGTGAGGGAAAGCGTCCGCACTCTGGGCCCCGTCGCCGCTCGCAACCGCCGTCGGTAGTTGTTTGAATGGAGCGAGGGAGCGCGCGGTGGATGGAGACGGTGGAGGAGGACGTGGAGGAGTACAGCTGGCGGGAGGTGGTGCTGCCGCATCTCGTCCCCGTGGTCCCCGACGGCGCGCCGCCGGAGCTCGAGCGGGAGACCGGGGAGCGGCGCCGCGGCAGGGACCTCCTCGTCGCCGTCGACTTCGGCCCGAACTCCAAGCACGCCTTCGACTGGGCGCTCGCGCACATCGCGCGCATGGCCGACACGGTCCACCTCGTCCACGCCGTGTCCAGTTGAGCCCCTTCCTAACTTCCGTCGATCCGTCGACTCTGAAACCCTATCTGTCTGCTCCATCTACCTAGCTATTCCGAACTTAAAACCTTGATTTAAATTTTAGCGCCGTAGGTTGGTGAACTCAATATTATATACTACCATCTATATTTGTTTGTTTATAGTTCAAACGGATCGACGTGTGTGTGGATGTGGATCAGTCTAGATAATTGACTATAATTTGGCTGTTTCCTCCTGTATCCAGCATCCTGCTTCCTGCCTTCAGCCATCTAGTTATGCATGTTTACTCGAAAAAAAAGGTTTGATGAGTCTTATGAATGGCACACGGAGTCACCTCTATCTTACAAACTAGGGGGTTTGCTCATATTTGCCCCCCTCTCTCCGAAGATGTGTGAGGCACTACATAAAGAATTGCTCTGGCTGAATGTGAATTTCGATCTGTGTAGGTGTGCAAAATGAGATTGTGTATGATAAAAGTCGGGAGCTGATGGAGGATTTAGCCGTTGAGACATTCAAGACGTTACTGGTATGCTCTCTTCCTCCTTTATATATTTTTGTACCATTATGCGTAGAAGCATTTCATGTTTATCGCCATGTATAGGATGTAAAGGGTTCATTCCCATACCTCAGTTACTGCCTTGTATTCTAGAAAATTGTATTAGTGCGTGCCTGTAAATGATTTCTGACAAAAACAGAGTTGATGCAAAGTGTGTACATTTGTGAATTTCTGTTTTTGCGTCTTTTCCATATTTTCCTCAAGGAATTGATACATGTGCCTTCAATTGGGAATTCGTAAGGTCCGAAGCAAGGCCAGAATTGTTGAAGGAGATGCTGGAAAAGTTATTTGCCGAGAAGCAGATCGACTGAAGCCCGCTGCTGTCATTCTTGGTACACGTGGTAGAGGCCTTATTCAAAGGTACCCGACTCTTAAACTCCAAACCCTTTATATATCTGTGGCACATTTAGATATCCAACCCTTTTGAATTAGCTTTATAGCTTATGGTCTTTTTGACTTAGCTTTATATCCAACCAACTTTGCAAGTAGAAAATTTCTGATCATTTGAAGTCATAATACTGCTACTATCCCTTCAAAAATGAAATTTCGCATACTGCATGTAATCATAAAAGTTGTCCTATAATTGCCTTTGCGACATTTTTATTTATCACGCATCTCTTCTTTGGAACACTTCTGTGATTGCGTTCCTGCAATACACCTGTCTTGTTACTTGCAAGTTATGAATACAAATATTTGATCACAAATTCACCATCTAAAAGAATTACTCCAAGAAAAAGAAACTTTATCACAGTAATAAAACCACATGTTTTCAGTTCTGATATGTCAACAGTGAAGAGATGTCTTGATGCTAAGGGATTGTTTACTGGTTTTATAATACCAAGGGATCTGTCTAATTAACGCCAATTATTGGTTGCATGTTGTGAAATTAGGGCAGGCATGGTCCTGCTGTTGGAAAAGTAAACATCACCATTGGAAGCAAAAAGATCTTGCAAGATTCAGATATGAAATATCCTTGCCTTTACCCCTTTTGATGTAAAACAATATCCTCATGATTTGTGCCTGGACCTCTTACTTTGGAAGCTTGCTGAAATGTGCTGAGCCCATGCTCAAATTCAATGATTCGAGAAGGTAGGTTTGATTGCTCAGTATAAAAAGCGACTTTGGCTGAATTATGGTGAGATGCTTGTACAAATGCATGCAAGGAACAGTGACTAGAATGCCTTTTTAGATAACTTGATAATTTGCAGAATCGTCTGAAATGACAAGAAGCATTTGGCACTAAAGCAAATGAATGCAATTAAACGTTGTTTATTATTTGTTCTTTTTACCTTTTGGTGCCTAGTTCATATTTTATTGCTGAACGTGAGCTGTAGATTGCATTTATAAGTATATCTCTAACTTTGCCTTTGTACTGTAGTGTGTTGCAGGGAAGTGTCAGTGAGTATTGCTTCCACAACTGTAAAGCAGCACCAATTATCATTGTGCCTGGCAAAGGTTAGTTCAAGTTCTTTACTTTGTATCAAGCATTTCACGAAAATAGACTGGGTATCAAGTAAAGGTCATTGCTATGGTGCTACCAAGCATAGCATGCATTTGTGAATGCACACCCTGATATGCACAGGGATGGCTGCGGGTAAGCACAAGAAGCATCTAGTCTTGTTGTGGCACAAGGAAATAGTTTGTCCTATGTCTTTGAGTCTCTCCTGTATCAAATAATTGCAAGCTGTTTTTGGATCTTTCTGATGACCAAACATGTGAAAAATAAAGAACTCATTTGCTCTACACACCAAAGTCTTGTTGACGAGATCAGCACAATTGGATGGGCGAAGGGAGAGAACCGATGACCCCCCACCCCTCTGTAGAGAGAGTAATGTTATGACCCCTGAAAAGAATCTACTTGATAAATGTTTTTTAGGCTGAACTTTTGTTGATCTATCCACAACGAGAACTCAAAACTATGTTTCTTGGGGCCTAAAATTATCTTGTGTTCTGAACAAATACTTTTTCTGTGGTTCACAAGAAATTTGTAGTATTCATGAAAATCGAAATAAGATTCAGCCAGTACCTTAATGCACTCAAATTATGTGCCATGTCAGTGTAGGTACATGTTAATATCCCTCGCAAAAAAAAAAGGTACATGTTAATATCGAAATAAGATTCGGCTGATATCTCTGCACTCAAATCCTTTGCGGTGGTCATTGTCAGTGTATACTGTGCAAGCGAATTATCCTTTACTTCTGTTACAAGTAAGGTTGAATTATGCCTTTGCAGAAGCTGGTGAACAGTCTGTGCTTTGAAGGAAGATGAGTAGGAGAATTGTTCCTGTTTGTTGTACTGTCAGTTTAGGTGATAAAGTGTTGTATATTGGTGTTGGTTTGTTGTGGGAACATGTTTTTAAGTGCTTTGCTTGTAATCTGAAGTTCTGAACCCTCTGTGTAGCTTGGCTCTGAAGGAATGTTTAGAGATTGGGAGAGTAGCAGACAAACATATAACACAAGAAATGTACTCGTATTGCCATTGGTGACAGACTGACAGGATACTTCATTAGTACAGTTGATATGAATAAAGAATCTTCAGCCACAAGTTTTGCCGTGGTTAAAACTCCAGCAATGAGGATTAATTCTTCTTACATTTCCATTTTGAGGCTGTCTAGCAAACAGTCACAAGCAGGGAAAGTAGTAGCTTGATTCAGTCACTTATGCTGGAGTTAAATGTATAGGGACAAATGCACGGTTCATACTAGTCTGAATTTGCATGAACATAATCAAATTTCATTTGATGTGCTCATTTTTGGTAGAGTTATTTGATCGTCTGCCAGTTTGAGAATTCTGTGATGGCATGTACGACTATGATGAACTCTAAACTTTAAACATGTTCAGGTAGGGGTTTATTTTACCCTGATCTAACCACGATTGTGTTCTTTCATTTCACATGAGGCAAAGTAACTGCTGGCTTGGCCTTCAGGAAGCAGCTGCTCACTTTCTACTGACTGAAATTGTGCATCAAATCCGCTGAACAAATTCTGGGCGCCAATGTCCCAGGCAGCAGTTCCATTCACCTGCAGAAAGCACAAGGCACTCAGTTCAGTTGAGGCTTCAGAACAGGAGGTAGCAGACTGGAGGACAACTGATTTGCAGCTACATACGTTGAGGCACGGCTCGATCGTCGACGGTCCGGCCGCCACCGATACCGACGGGGCAGCCGACACAGGGCAGCTCGCGGCGGCGGGCGCGTACAGGTTGTTGACGACCATGTCCAGCCCAAAGCCAGTGGAGCCTGCCGCTGCAGATGGGTGCACCTGCTGCATGGGGCTCATCTGAAGGCCGGACGGCTCCAGCTGGCCGGCCGGCAGAGCCATCGCGGGCAGGGCTGCCGCCGGGCTGCACGCCTGCTTCAGCTGCCGGCCGAAGAGGTCCTCGACGATGTCGAAGCTCACCACGGGGTTGGAAGCGGCGATCTTCATGGACAGGAACTGCAAGCAAGGAGACCCTCCGTTGAGCGATCGCTCAACAGCACTAGCCAGCTAGCTGGAAGAAGCAGAGAAGACGAAGCAGGCCGGCCGGCCGGCCGGTCGGTACCTCGACTTGCTTCTGAAGGGACTGGACGTAGTTGATGATCTCGTCGAGCATGCCGGCCTTGCCCGTGACCTTGCTGCACCCGGGCACCAGCTCCTGCAGGTATCGCATCCTCTCGCTGATCCTCTCCCTCCTCACCTGCACGCCAATTCGTTCGGCCATGAATTCTGATGCACGCGGCAGGGTCGATCGGTGTCCATGAGCAGCATGGAGCACGCAAAATGTTTGTTCAGTAATTCAGCTGTTAATGTTTTACCCGCTCGGCGAGGCTGTGGCTGTCCGTGGCCTGGCCGCGGCGGGCCCGGACGTGGATGTAGTCGGTCTTCTGGCCGGAAGCCGCTGCCGCCGCCGCCGCCGCCGCCGCCGTCGACGCAGGCTCCGCCTTCTTCTTGGTGCCTGCCTTTGGTCGCTCCTGCTGCTTCCCTTTCCCGGGCGCCGCGATCTCAGAGAGGCCAGACTGCTGCTTCCCTCTGGATCTCTTGTTCATGTCGTTTGCACCACCCTGCCAATTTCAGTTTTTGACACGCCTGTCAGTCAAAGACTTGACAATCCAGTAGAAAAGCCTCGCTCCAGCAACCAGCACCGTCCGTGTCTGAATCTCTCACCTTGGCATCGAGGTACGCGTCCGGTCTCCTCTTCCTGCATCCGCCGCCGCTGCCGCTGCAAGAGGAGGAGTCGTTGCCGTCGCCGGCGCTCGGCGCCGCCGTCGCCACGGCAGGCACGCCGAGATTCGTGCCGCACATGGCGCCCAGGTCCGGCCACTCCTGGAGGTAGCCGAAGGCGCTGCACATTGCGCTGAACTTGTCGTCGTCGAGGTCGAGCAGCCCCTGGCAGAGGCTCTCGACGGTCCCCTGGCATCGCGCCATTATCAGCAACCCCGGAGACGGTATCAGCGCCGAGTCCCAAGGCTAAGGTGCTTGGGACAAGAAGCTTTGCCTCAGCTGCTTGGTGCAGGTCTGTGAGCCACCGATGAGGAGTGAATCGAAGCAGCGTGGTTTGCAGTTATGTAGGAGGGGGTGTGGCGTAGGGAGGGTCTTGTAGGTGAAGCTTGCGCGTCCCTTTCGCTTCCCGGCTTGTGTGCCCTCCTGGAAAATTTCCCAATCCATATATATATGGAGAACGACGGGTGGATAGATAGGGGAGCCCGGCGCCCTTTGCTTGGGGTGATGGTACTTGGCCATGGGATATTGGATTTGGCCCTCCCTTTAGGTGCGAGCATGTGAGGTAGGGCTGGCCACAGTGGTGTGGGGGAGTGTGTTTCAGCTGGCATATCGTAGGGCCCCAATTTGCCCGGGCCAGAGGACCTTCAGTTACGCATAAACTGCAAAGGATGCAGCAGGGCATCAGAAATGAACACCCAAACACCCAAGATCGATGCCTACGAAAAGCTATCTTTTTTAGCATCTAGTAATTCATTCATGCATAGGCATCTTCAGAATTCACGCGTTCCGAATGAAGCTTTCTATGGAGATTGGAGAGGTGTGAAAAGAGTGCAAACTGCAAAGGCTTCTCTTTTGAGGCTCAGGAATTTTGAGGCTCAGGAATGACTAACGAGAGTATCAACTGAGGCTTGGGTTCTAGCTGTGTGTGTGCTGACAGTGAGATGCGCCATTCTGAATTTTTCCTGATACTGCAAAAGGACGAGAGAGGGAGACGACAGCTGCTCGATCGCCTGCTGCAATAACAAGGACAGCTTTGGGCGTGATTGGTTGCTTCGGTGACGGAGAGTCGGAATGGAGAGGCGGTCCAGGATGGTGAGATGCATATTTAAATCGTGCATCCAGTTATGTTTGGTTGTCTTTGTCGTTGGTTGATACGAGATGAGATCTTGTTTGGTAGCATGTATGGATGGGAGTTTTGAGTATATGACATATAACCTCTGTATCATGGGTGCATCGTGTAACACCCTCGGTGTTACACTGTAAAATCTTTTGCTAAAACATGTCATGAGCATTATGGTTATGTGTTAATGCATGTGATATAGTGTGTAAATCAATTGACGTAACTTAAAACGATCAACGGAAAGGCATAACGAAAGGTCGTTCGTGAAGTAAAGGCATAACGAAAGGTCGTTCGTGAAGTATAAAATTATTAAGTATGGATGTTCGTGAATTTTTATTGAATGAAAACACTATAGAATATATATACGGAATTTTAGTAGAGTTGGAAGTATGAACTTTGTAGATGACGATGAAATACCTGCGGTCGAGAAAGGAATTCACTAGCCAGTATACCTAATAGCTTGGAAATCGAATTTGACGCGAATCTGATCAAGATTTAGTCGATTTCGTAGGTTTGAAAAGTGGTTTGACAAAGGCCAAGTTTGGCAATTTTTGTAGAAGAATTGGATTAATGAGTGGTATGGTTTGATGGCTGGTTTTGATAGCCTAATATGTCCTCTTAAGAATTGCATAGGTGGTTTGTCGATTAGATCAATATTTTAAGTTTATTGGGACGCTTTAAAAAAGCGTGCATGGCATGTTGCCGGTCGGTTTCAGCGACTAGGCACGGTCACCATGCTTCGGCTCTCGGCGTTGCCGCGCCGGCGCGCCCAACGCGCGCACACCGCCGCGCAAGCCCCGCATCGCCGCTACCGCGCCCAAGCACGTGACTCATGCACGCACGCACTCACGCGCACCGCCGTGCTCGGCGGGACGCTGGGGGCCGGCGGGCTTGGCCGCTCTGCTCCACCACTGGCGTCGCGGGCCCGATGCCCTGGCCGGTCCGCTGCCGCCTGCCTCGCCGTGTCATCGCGCTGCTGCTAGCCGCGATCGTGAGTGCTGGGTCGCCCGCGTGCGCCCACACCGCTTGCGTCGCTGTGCCGCCGTCCCGTCACCGGCTGCCCCGCGCTGTCACTGCCAAGCCACAACGTTGTGTCGCATTCGCCTGCGTCTCTGCGTCGCTGTCGTCTCGATTTAGTGCATGTGGCCTTGTCGAGGCCACCGCTTGTCGTTCGCCATTAATGATGCCACGGCCGCGCTGCTGCGCTACCACCGCCCACACGCGGGTATGCCCCCTATCTCCGGCTGCGCTGGCTCGCAATGATTGCTTGGGTGCGGTCATCACGTCCCGCCAAGGCTCGGGCAAGCAACCGGACCCCATTCGCTTCTTTTCCCTCCCTCCTCTGCTGTCGGGCCAGCCAGGCCGCGCCTTCAATCTGGCACGGTGAGGTCGTGTCCATTCATTTCATCTCGCGTCCGACTCCGTCTTCAAGTCTTCTAGCCAACTGACCCCGCACCGTGTCCAATCATGCTTAGGCAAGCTCCAATTTGGAGCCGGCGCCCGCCGTCGCGCCATTAAAGGTTTAGACGCCGTTGCCGTGGGCATTACCCGCCTGGTCCTCCCGAGTCAATTGGTTGCACCCCCAGCCTCGCCTCGTAGTCCTCCACCCCGTGCGCACCCCAATTTGCACTGCTACTACCTGCCCAGCGCCGCTAATGCGGTCGCGTGCGCCACCGCGGCCGTCGCCATGCTTGCCATGCGCGCGTGTGGCTGGACTCACTCGGCCCGTCTCCGGTCAAGCCATCACGTCTGGTAGGTTCTGGGTGAGCTGCTAATGCCCATCCTCTAGTCCTTTCATCTCGGTTGTGCCTGAGCTCACGGGAATATGGCCGCCGCCGCCGTAGGAGGCCCGCCGCCATGGAGGGAGCTCGGGACCGCGTCTCTGTTCACCGCTTCACCGCTCATCGCCTCACGTTCGCATCTAGGTGAGCATCGGTTCGCTATCGGGGGCGGGGAGGGGCTAGGTTGGTCGGCGTCACCGCCCAGTGCCATCGCCGCCGCGCGGGTGCGCGCGTGGGTGCCCGAGGACCTAGCCGTGGTAACGATAGTTTATTCCGAGGGCTAGTTTGCTTAAACGTTCACTGTAGGAATAGTGTTGTGGACTGTGGATTGATTCGTTAGTACCGCAGGGACATTTTCGCAAATGTGCCGAAGCGCGTGGGCCTTCCCGTCGTGGGCTATCGTCGCGCGGTTGGGCCGCGCTGGTGGGTCGCGCGTGCGCGTGTGTGGGCCGCGTCGCTCGCTCGTGTCTACCGCGTGGATGATTTTGGTTTTCCTTTTTTTCAGGGAATTAATAAATATTTATTCAATTTAGTTTTGAGCTGATCTTTAGAAAATTATAGTAAATGTTATAGGTGTCCAAAAGTAGTGAAATAAAATTTGTTACGTTCACAAAAATATTATCTATCTGTTGGTGTATTTAGTTTACAGTTATATATGATAATGATAGATTCATTAATTCATTTAGCAAAGCTTAGTATTATTTAGCTTAATATTTATAGGAATTTTTGTGGTAAATTGGTGATAGCTTTTGCCATAAAATTTTTACAGTAGGTTTCATTAGATTATTATGTGCTCACTATAATTTTTGTAGCCTTAGAATAGGTTGATAAATATAGTAGCTAGTAATCCTGGTTTTACTATATATAGTAAATTGGTATTAAGAGTAAGAATGCCTTTAGTTGCTAAGTTAATATATGAAATGTTTCATGCTTGTTTAATAGAAATGATAGGTAACTTAGCGTCTTAGTCGGTAGACCTAGCTTAGTAGTTGATAGATGTATTCTTATTTTAAGAGTTGTTGTTGCCGTATTACTAAGTGTTGCATCATCATTTCATGCATGTAGATAACGAGTTGGTAGAGTTCGTGCCTGCGGGCGAACAGGAGTACGAGAAGATCATTGAAGAGTACGAGGAGGAGATTCTCGTTTAGGAGGGAGCCCCGGAGGCATCAGTTGCTACCTTTATTGACACCCCGCCTGCCCAAGGCAAGCCCCGGTGCATAACCCTTATTTTGAATGACCACTGAATATATATATATGATTTGCATTTACGTTACATGCATTTTATGGAAACTACCTGTATAGATATACCTACCTATGAGTCCTACTAGCATAGGTCGAGTAGTTGCTATGCTCAGGATTTTGGTAGCATGAGTAACCTGTCGTTACTCACAATAGGTGATTATTATCAGTGGCGAATCTAGAATTTTATCTCAGGGTATGCCATCTAAAAATTTTTCATTATGATTCAGTAAAACCAGTTTTTACGATTCGGTAACAATTTGTAAAATTTGCTATGTAGTTTGTGTGTGTATATATACACACACACTAAATAACATGATAAAGCTTAATTGGAAGATCAAGTTAAAAACAACCACAAATCATTATAATATAAATAGTTCAAAATATAGACATAAAAGAGAGTAAGCTACTTACAGTACTACTTATCTGACTTCAAAAAAATATTGCTCAACATTAAAAAAGATGCATGCTTCAGAAAAAGAGCTACAACGTCCCTGCTTCTCCTCATAGCTGCACAAATATAAAAACACAATGCCAAATAATTAAATAAATTGTGTTTTGTGGGGATTGAATTCTCACATGAGATTACAGAAACACTCACACGACGCTGATGAATCTTAACTTCTCAAGCATGCTGATGTTGGGACAATCCCAGTCTCGCTACATGATGGTGATTATAGATAGCAACGAAAATAGGCAGGAATTTTCTAAGGGAAGACATGATGAGTAGAAGAGGCCGAATAGCATAGATTGAACCTCACCTTGGTGGAATCAATTGCATAGATGTGTATTCGGCTATTCACGGCCTAAGCCAATCCAGGCAGCGGCGAGTCGAGAGTCGGGAGCCCCCGTGCCTCCATCACTGGCGCGGCCATAGGGTCAATGTGGGCGTCTGGTCGTGCGGACGTGCAGTTAGGTTTCGGTCGCTGATGATCGGATCTCAAGTCGTCAGTCATCCGCGGCATGGAGGATGGTTACTGTTCGATCGAGTCGAAGATCAGAGGCGTCGCGCGCGTACTCGCGTGTCCGCTTGGGCCCTTCCGACTCCCTCCTACTCCTGT